AAAAAAAAAAAAAAAAAAAAAGCAGGCAACAGCACAATAGGGAACTATTTTATAACAAAACAATACATAATAGGTATCTATTATATATAAGATATTAAGATGTTAGAGAGATATATACAAATATATCATGAGAAAAGATTAGAAAAAAAGCATGAGGTTATAAGCCAATAGTGGGCCTTTTTAACTTCTTTTATTTTTTTTTTCTCTATGTTCTTTAATAAAATTCTCTCGCTGTTTCCTAACATTTCACAGGTCTGGCTCCTTTGTCACCCACCTAGGCCATAAGCTTTGTGTATCTCATCCCTGCTTCCAGCCGCCCCAGCAGGGCCTGACTTGGGCAAATTGCTGCTGTCTCCAAACCTCAGTTTCCTCATCTGTGAAATGGGGCTCTCCCACGGGGTTGTCGTGACGATGACCTGAGAGGAAGCCTGTGGGGTCCTTTGCACAGAGGAGCCTGGGGCAGGGTTAGCCTGGCCGCAAAGGCCCTTTGAGAACCTGAGCCATCACAATGGCACACAGTGACGAAGCTCCGCGGGGTGCCGGGCAGCCCCCTGGCTGGGATTCACCTGCTGAGCAGTCTGGGCAGCACTGTCCAGGGACATGAATCGGGTGAGGGCAGGAGTCCACACAGTCTGTCCTCTTGCAGCTCACTGAGCCATCTGCCTGAGGGAGGGAGGAACTTCACCAAGACCCCACCTGCTGCACCTCCCCGCCTCCCACCCCACCCCACCCTCCCAGCGCCCCCAAAAAAGGCCAATGCCACAAACTGCTAAGGCTTGCCCTAAAGGGCACCACAGGCGACTGGGAGGTGGCAGGTCCCCCAAAGAGGACCAGCTGCTCAGGGAGGGGAGTACCTCTCCAGGAAGGTGTCCCTAGCTAGGGAGAGGGGAGGCCGGAGCTGGCTTTGGTCTCCATGGTTTCCTGTTCCCCTCCAGCAGCAGACAAAGCTGCACCTTCCCACCCTCCTAATTCTCTCAGCATTTCCCTGGAACCCTCACTCACCCCATATCTATGGAGTACAAGAAAATCCTATTTTTATAGAAAACTATTCTGCCGGAAATGTCTATTTCAGAAGATAAAAGCGCCACATATGGTTCCTTTTTTTTCCTTAAGAATCTGAATGCTTATGAGCGCCTTAGATCAGTCACAAAGGGAAAATAAAAGGTGGCAGATGTACTTTCCTCCCAATTCTGATTCCAAAGAAGCATGTCCAAGTTCTGGAGGGTCCAGGGCTTTTTAACAAAGGCGCATCCCAGGTACTGGAAGGCCGTGCCTCTCACACGCTAGTGGGTGCGTGTGTCCTGAGGTCTGGGCGGCCTCGAGATCCTGCGTGTCTGCCAGGCTCCCAGGCGAGCCAGACACACCGCTGTGGCAGGGGCCTCGATCGGAGAAATAAAGCTCTAAGCTCAAAGGGACTAAAACTCTTAAAAGTAGAAAGCAATGCCAACATGTACTTAAACAAGGAGCTCAAACAATTGCATTTCTTGGTGAGCAGCTGTGTTTGCATTTCGGTCATGCAGCCTCTAAATCTCACACACCCTCTCCTTATCCGTTGCTGATAAGATGAGGTCACCCGATTCACGTTGATGAAGGAAACATTGTGATTTCATAGAAAAAGCCCTGAACACCTGGACTTCGGCCTGCCCCAGCTCCCCCGGGTATCCGGCCCAGAGAAAACGTGCCCAGGAAATACTGATAGACTAATTCCACCGCTCGTGCCAGCAGCTCAGTGTGTCACTGTCAAGCTCTGCAGTCCTGAAAAATCTATTGAGGACAGAATGACCAGGGTCTTAACACTCTCAGTAAAAATGAAACTTGACAGCATGGGAGGGAGATTGAGGGCTGGCCCAGCGGGCAGCCGGTCTGCCTGGGGGGAGGCATGGGGTGGCCTGGAAAGCAGCTGGAGGCGTGCAGGTTGCCATTCACCTGGCAGATGCATAACTCACAGGGATCACCAGGAGACCAGATCTGTCCGATTGGAAACTCAACCCCGTTGTCATCGAGAGAGCAGCCTGGCCAGGGACAGTGGGGGAGAAGGACGAATGGGCAGAAGTGCCAATGAGGGCCCCAAATGCCTGCCGGACCTGCATCCCCATCCCCTCCAAGCACAGGTTCAATCTGTGTAGACAGCTCCCGGCACATATTCAGCTGCCTGCAGGTGCCAGGGGCTGCCTGAAGCTACCCATCTGGCACCCTCATTTAGTGAATTCTCCCTCCACATAAGCACCTAGTGTACATGGCATGCTCCCACAAACATGCGTGCATACACACCCAAAAACACACACTATCACACTCAGAGAAACCACTCACATATACAAACACACAAATATACACTCGTATGAACACACAGTGATATGCTTACACAAACACACACTCAGTCACACACATGCTCACTCCAGTGGTCTCAGGGATGAAGCTCAGCCTCCCTCACAGGCATAAGGCCCTGTGCTGGCATAGCTCTGGGGCGCAGGCCAGAGGCCTCACCTGTCATGGGCGCGGGCTCCCTGCAGGTGAAGCAGCACTGTCCTGGGCCCAGCCACCACTCCTCTCGGGGGCAATCCAGTTCTGGACACGGCATGAAGGAACATTCCACCTCCCCATTCTGGAAGAGAATCGAAGGGCCTGGGCCAGTGAGGGCAGCTCCCAGCCCTGGGCCATCCGAAAGCTTAAGACGTTAAGAGGAGGCTAAAGTGACCAAAACATCCCCAAGGAGCAGGAGGGACAGAGAGGCGGGTCCTCCTCCAGGGGCCGGGGTGCTGCCAACTGGCTAGGGACCCTGCCTGCCCGAGCTGCAGGCCCAGTTTCTTGGCCCCTCACTTCTGTAACAGCTGCCTGCCCTCATGCCCACCTACTCCCACTCTGCCACAGAGAACTTTCTTGTGCCCCAGCTGATTGCATAGCTCCACCAGGTCCACAGCCGTCAGCCTGGCCAGCAAAGCCCTTCGTGACTGAGTCGGGGCAGAGACTCTGGGGCCCATCTGGAGACCCCTTCCTCTGGGCTTGGCTGAGCTCCCTGTGGACAAGCCAAGGACCCTTCTTCACCCAGCTCTCCTTCCCCTGCCTGTCTGGCCTGCCTTCCCTCCTGAGAGCACTCCCTCGGAAAATCACCTCCACAGAACTCCAACCGCAGGCCCTGCTGCTCAGAGCCCAACTCATGCCCCCTGCCTGTAGCCGCATCTCTTGCCTGGTCCCTGTCTCTCCCACAGTCTGTCCCACAGGACAGACACTCTCAGGTCTCCTGCCTTCCACTCACACCACGCTGTCTGCCAGGCACACTTGCCTCAGCTTCCCACCCCACTAGTCCTAGTCATCCTTCAGGTCTCAGCTTTACACCCCTCCCTCTAAGGAGGCTCCCTGAAGCCTACAGGCTGGCTAGGAGCCCCAGCCACCTGTCCATTGCCCACCTAGACTTTGGGCCCCCTGATGAGGGGACTGAAGTTGTCGGGGGCTTAGCTGTGTCCCCGGCACTCAGCATTATTCCAGGCACACAGTGGGTGGTCTGTAATAACACGGCTAGAAGATGAGCTTCAAGGACACTGGGGGAAGACCTTGGTGCATGCAGGTCCTCTGGTTCCTCTGCTGCCTCAGTCTCCCTTTGGCTGTGTGGCGGCTTCCTTCTCCTGGTCACGGCCTGTGCCCTGCCCTCCCCATCGCCCGCCAGGTCAGCCCCTACCTGGCAGATGCATGTGGTGCACTCGTCACCAGCCCCGCTGAACACAGCCCCGTCTGCATACCACCGGCCGTGGAAATAGCATCTCACTGCGGAGGAGAAAGGGAGAAGCGGCTCAAGGCCTTTGGGCGGGGGCAGCTGGGGAAAAAGGAACAAGTAGGTAGGGGACCCAGAGAAGCTGCCACACTCCTGCCACACCTTGCACACGTCTCATACTCAATAGCCCAATCACTCTCCTTTCCAAACCCTTGGCAAAAAATACCCTGTTACCTAAAAACTGACAGAGAATGAATCCTGTGTAAAATAAGATCCTTGACCAAAAAGGCAGGGGAAGCCCCTAATAACCAGAGAATAAGAGAAAAGAAGAAAGAAAAAGACAGCCCTAGACACCTAAGACAAGTCTGGGGACAATGCCAATCCCTGGAGGCTGAGGATTCAGCCAGAGCCTCTCATCTAAACATCTCCCCACCCCAGTAAAAAGAGCTTAAAATCCTGCCCAGACCCATCTGGCCTTAGTCTGACTGTCCTGGGTTCAAATCCCAGCTACACAACTCACTAGGGAATACCTTTGGGCAAGACACTTACCTTCTCTAAGCCTCGGTTTTCTCATCTATAAAATGGGTTTGATACCACTTCCTACCTAGTAGGGAGTATGTTGCCATTCAAAACATGTGTGAATCAAAAATAATATAACATTTAAATGCTAAGAAAAAAAATATTTTAAAAGAACACCAGTTTTTCTTTTTTTGTTTTTTGTTTTTTTTATTGAAGGGTAGTTGACAAACAGTATTACATTAGTTTCAGGAGGAACACCAGTTTTGAAATCAGGTAGGCTTGAGTTTAAGTTCTGCTCCTTTAACAACTGACTGTGTGCCTTTGGGCAGTGATGACCTCTCTCAGACTCGGTTTCCTCATCCATAAAATGGGGCTATGATAGCACCCTCCCTCCTCCGCTCCCAGGGCTGTGCCTTATGGATTCAATGAGATCAAGGGCTGGCAAGCTCAGCACCGGCACAGAGCCAGTAGGATTCCTGTTGGTGATGAGGTCATTCCAGGAAAGGGACCCACATTTTTAACAAAGGACCAACTCATTATCGGGGGAGGAGACCCCCTCCCCTCTGCAGATGCCAAAGGAACTCAAACCCCTTCCTGACTGTGCTGAAGGTGCCCCCGGGGGCAGGGGGCAGGGGGTGGGTGGGGCTGTGAGCCCAGTCTAGCATCCAAACCACCATGCCCATAGTAGGTGCTCAGCTTAAAGGTGTTCTTTGAAATGCTTCACTTGGTCTGAGTTTCTAAGGCAGAAATCAATCTCCTGCCTCTCTCTTCCATTCACCCCACCCCCAAAGCAGACTCAAAAGACATCCCCCTCACACGCACACACAAAAGCTAAATTGTGTCCCCCACCCCACCCCAAAAGAGTCGCTTACCTGGAACGCAAGTACAGCAGCCCGACTTCGGGGAGGTATGACAGGGGCCAGGAGGACACTCCGGGGAGATGCAGGACACATTTCCAGCCTGAGGAGGTGAGGGCGGGTGGGGGTGGGGGCAGGGTGAAGGAGGAGAACCAGGGTCTGCTGCTCCCCAGGCCACCAACAGCCAGCTCACCCCCTGACCCACACCACACCTCAGCTTTCCTGTCCAGCAGGAAAGCCTCCCAAAGGAAGCCCTCCAAGATGTTTAAATGCCACTGTGGTCACAAGGACACTGCAGGGAGCCTGTTCCTGGTGTTTATAGTGGTGTGTTTTAGAACATCCCCCTTTCTAAGACCAAGGGCACCAGAAAGTGGAGCACATGGCCCTCCTTATGAGAATGGACAGGGCTAGCCTCCCACGGCCGCTCCCACGGCTATGGAAGCCGTGGAAGGATGCCAAGAGCCAGAGACCAGAGACAACAACACCAGAGACACTTTACTGAGCCTGAGTTTTAAGCCAGATGAATATTTGGTTATTTAAAGAATTAAATTTAAAACTAAAATTTTTAAAATTCGAAGTTAAGACCAAAAAGACCCTGGCTTGGAGCCAGCCAGACCTGATTCCAGTCTAGTTTTCCACTATCGAGTCGAGTGACTTCAGGCAAAGTTCATCCCTTCTCTGAGCCTGGGCTTCCCTATCTGTGAGATGAGCTAGAAACTGTGCCTCTGTTCGGGGTGGCAAGAATTACGTGAAATGAGCTCATCCACAGAAGCGCTTGGCCGCTGCGCGTGTGACACACAGGAGGAGCTCAGTTAAGGGTGGCGGGAGCTGTCTACGTGCCCACCCCATCTAACACTGCAGCTCGTGTCACCAGTGCCACGGCAGGGGCCACAGGGTGGCAGTGAGGGTTGATGGGCAGAGCCTGGGCTTTGGACATAAACTGACCTTGGCTCAGATCCCAGCTCTGCCACCTCCCAACCTGTCTTTTCATCTGTGGAACATGGACAAGGAGCCTCAGGTGAGGAAATAGATGAAAAGTTCAAGCCCCATGCCTGGTAGGCACTGGGGGCTCACAATCAAGTCTGTGTGGCAGCACCTGGCACATAGTAGGAGCTTTATATCTATTTTTGGAGGAGTGAATTTGCCTAAAGCAAAATACTCTTAATAAGCTGAGTCTGGTAATGAGCCTTCTCCCTCCTAAATGTGGCTACCATTATTGTGCTGGCAAATATCTCGCCTGGAGAGAAAAAAGGGCCTCCCTGGTGGGAAGTTTCCAAGGGAGTTCCGTCCCCTCCCCTTTCTAGACAGATGGACGCTGTTTGCCTTTTGGCACTTTTCTGCTGAGAAGAAGCCTCCCTGACCCCAGCAGCCTACAGCTTCACATCTCCCCCATGCTTTTACACTTGACAGATTCCGACCAAAATCCACAGCCTGAGAATGCTCCCTCCATTCAACAGGCTCACCTTTAACATCCAGTCTTTTCCCCTTCCTCTAAAACCCCCAAAGGTTAAGAAAATACCCAGGAGGCTACAGGGACCTTCTGATGCTCACCAGGCAGACACAGACAGTGCAGTTCTCATTGGGAGGTGAAAACACGTCCCCTTCAGCTCGGATGATGCCACTGTGAAAACAGCCTTTAAAAGACAAACAGGAGTGGAGGCATCAGACCTCTTCAAGGCAGAGGAAGCTTGAGGTCTCATTTTTTTTCCAGGCATAATGTAGCTGCAACCTTCTCTCACTAGCCCGTATGCTCCAAAAGCAGCAGACACAAGTACCCAGATCTGTGTGGTCCTGGGACCCCTGGAAAACAGAAGACACCCGCATAGGATGCCCCAGGAGGCAGAAAAAGCAACCAGACAGTCCTTGGTTCAAATACTGACCTGTCCATTCAGATACCTGTGTGGCTTTAGACATGTCACTTAACCTCTCTGGGACTCAGCAGTCTTTACTATAAAATGGAAATACCACCATGTACCCTGCAGGGGACTTGGGAGGACCCAGAATCTCAGATGTAAAGTGCCCAGAACTTGGTATTCAGGGCTCAGGGCATAGCAGGGACCCAGTAAAAGGTCACAATTATCATTGAGACAATCAGTAAGTGCATTTTCAGTCTAACCCTTCAGAAGACTATTTCCCTGCTGTACCAGGTACGACAACCTTGACATCTTATTCGCAGGAGCTGCAGAGAAATGCATATGCCCAGGGTTCTCCCCACATCTACTGGATGAGAATCTGCATTTCAACAATATCCCCAGAGATCCATGTGCAGAGTGAGTTTTGAGGAGCTCTGTTGAGAAGACTTAGGGTCTCTACCCTAGCAGCAATGGGAAGCAAATGACAACTTGCAAGCAGATTGTGGGAAGGAATCAGAAAAGGGGCAGAATTTACAAACAATTCCTCCTCCACCTGTAGGAGGGACTTGCAGGGAAGGGGACTGCAGAATGGATTTGGAGAAACTCATTGAATGAATGAAGCTCAAAAAGGATCCCAGAAGGTGAAAAGCTCCCCCCAAGGGATATCACAACACAGATCAGTGGTTCTCAAGGTGTGGTCGTCCCCTTCCCCCACCAGCAGCATCGGAGTCCCTGGAAATGTGTTAGAAATGCAAATTCCTGGGCCCTGCCTCAATCACAAAGCTAAATCAGAAGCTCTGGGATGGGCCTGGGATCACCCTTCAGGTGACCCTCGGTACACAAAAGCCCTCCTGCTGCAGAAGGGCTGGGACAGGGAAGAAGCAGGGCCGTGCTGGGAACTCACAGTTTCCTCTGGACTACCCCCACCTGTACACGATGGGCAGCACCCCTCACCGCCAGCGGGGATGGGGTGGGAACACGCGGCTTCACACGCCACCTTCTCACAGGTCACCTCCCGTTCCTGGAAGGAGAAGCAGGAGTTCTGGCCGCCAGAAGGCCCAGGCCCCAGACCAGGGCAGCCCCGAGGACCCCCACCCACCTTGCACCAGCACTGGGAACACTCAGGCTCTTTCCAGCGGCTTCCTGACTCATACATGGCTCCCAGGTGCCAGCAGGCAGAGGGGCCTGGTGCCAGCCGAGTGGCCGCGGGGCCCCTGGGCAAGGCAGGTGTCACCTCCTGGAGTTGTGAGGGAGGTCCTAGGGTCCCCAACAGGGAGGCGCTTGGCACTGGGGCTGCCATCAGGGTGGGCGGCAGCTGCTTCGGGGCAGCTGGGAAGGATGTGGGTGGTGCTCGGGTGGGAGAGGGCTGGCTGGCAGTCCTGACTCCGGTTGGGGGCCCTGGAGCCCCGGAAGGGGGGCTATGTCCGGCGTAGAGGGCAGGCCGGCCCGCCTCAGGAAGCAGCAGTATCTTGGGCGGGTGTTGTAGGGGCTGAAGGATGGCAGATGGCGCCAGCACAGCCTTCCGGAAAGCTGAAAGGGAAGCACAGGGGTCTCAGCAGGGAGCAGCAGGGGGCAGGAGGCGAGAGTCGTGGGGCCTGCACTCAGGCCAGTTCCTTCCTCAACAACACGGATCTAATAGCCCAGTTCCACCCTAAACTGCTAGGGCTGCGGTGACAATCGGTCACACAGGAAGACTGATGGGGACAGGACCAGAGGCCCAGGCTGGCCCAGTTTCCAAGTGGAAGTGTGTCCTCCACTACCACCCAGATGTGGCTGCCCAGGAGCGGATGCTGAGGCTGCAGATGAACAAAAAAAACCCCAGGGAAACCTCGCCTTGGACTGGAAAGAGCACCTCCAGGGTTTACATGACACTGTACGTGGGTCTATAGGCTTGCTGTCAAAAGCTGCTGTCCGGGGGAGCCCAGGTGACTGGGACTCCTGGTCACACCTCCTCTATTATTATTATTTTTTTTAAATCATTTGGGGTAAACAAAAGGGCTAGGGAAACAGTGGAATGAAAAGAGAGGAAGAATGAATAAAGAAGTGGAAGGACGAACTGAGGGAGAAATGGAAGCATTGTAAATAAAATTAATTGAAAAAAGTGAAGAGGATCCTGTTCCAGGAGGGCGGGGTATGTAGGCGGGGTCAGGGGCGAGGAGGGCAGGACTGGGGACTGGGGGCGCGAGGCCTGGCGCGAGCGGGCGGGCGGGGCCCGGAGCTAGGTGGGCGGGGTTGGAGGCGGGGTCAGGGGAGAGGAGGGCAGGACTGGGGCCTGGGGGCTCGAGGCCTGGCGCGAGGGGGCGGGCGGGTCCCGGCGCTGGGTGGGCCGGGTTGGAGGTGCGGTCTGGCGCCGGGCGGGGCTGGACGCTCACCTTCACAGGACACTCGGTCGGCTCGGAGCCTGAAGCCAGGTCGGCACGTGCACAGGAAGCTGCCCACGGTGTTATGGCAGGAATGCTGGCAGACTCGCCTTTCCAGCGGCCTCCGACACTCGTTTACATCTGCAGAGGAGCCTTGCTGTGGACAGCTGCCATGTTGGACCCACCGAACACTGCTTCCTCCATCCCGTAGCCCAAAGGCTGGGGAAGTCTGCCTGGCATGTTCTCATGGGCTTCATCTCTGCCCCAGCGTGAGGGATGCGACTCAGATCTCTGGGAATGGGCCTGAAATCTAGTGCTAGTTTCCTTGAAAAGATCGTACATCCAGTAGGCCTTTAATGGGTGCACCAATGACTCATTCCCCAGCACTATGGAGCAATGATTAAGTGCTAGCTGGTGGGGATGATCCCGCTGGGAATCTTATCTCCAAACCTTCCACCACCCCACGTGTTGGGTGTCCGGTGGGTGGCCCCTTCTGAAAAAGAATCTCAAAAATCACTGCCTGCTCAAAGTAGGCTTCAGGACAAACACTAACCTCCACTAGAACAAGGTCTTTTTTCAGGTCCATGGGACCCCACCTTCAACCCATGGGCCAAACTCGAGCCAACCATGCCAATCCCTTTCTGGAAATTTCTGCTAATGGGCTGAGAAAACAGGGGTCTCCTTCTAAACCAGAGAAACCAAGACATAACATGCTATATTTACCAAATGAAGCAAGGACAGCCAAGAAAATGGGTGAGCAGAGAGGAATCCTTGGGGTTTATCTGGGACCACGGGTGCAAGAGAAACATAACAGGATGAAAGGGGCACGTGGCCAGGAAAAGTCCAAGACAGGGTCTTCCGTGAGGAGCCAAGCCAACCCCAGGGGAAGGCAGGCTCTGAGCAAAGGCTCAAGCACTTACAGGCTCCAGGGCATCAGAAGGTCCCGACTGTTGACCTTTCCCTGTCCCTGAGCTTGCCCTGTCCATCATTCTGATTGGCAGCCTAAATGTAAAACAGCAGGGTCCACCTGACCTCACCTACGCAGGAGTGCCGGTTGCCGTGGAGATGGAAGCCAGGTCTACAGGAACACCTGTAGCTGCCAATGCTGTTTCTGCATCTCTGCTGACAGGGGGTTCCAAGGCATTCATCAGTGTCTGGAGGGGAACAGGACAAGGTTGGAGCTCGTTCCCCCCATGCAGTTTTGGAAATGTTTGGTCCCCTCTTCCTCTCAGTGCCATCTCCCACCCCACTCGGGGCTGTAGAAACCATCTTAGCCCCTCTTTCTCACTGCCCACATTCAGTCTATCAACTCCTAGATCCTCCCCGGACCAGCCCATTTCTCTCCATCCCCACAGCCGCCCCCCTAGCCTGGGCCACCTTTGCCTCTAGTCTGGAGAAGAGCAACAGCCTAGTTCATCTCCCTCCCAAGCCATCCCCTACGCAGCCTCCAGGATGTTCTGACCACAGGCACCTTGATCAGGCTACTCTGCTTGAAAGCTCTGCATGGCCCCCATAAACACCAGTGCTGCACCGTAGCTCATGAGCCCTGGGCTGCCTTTCCCACCTCCTCCCCTGCATCTCACCTTTGCTCTGGCTTAAATTCCAGCCATCTTCCAAATACACCATGCTCTTACAGGCCTCTCCCTTTGCCCCAGTTCTCTTGTCTACCTGGAATGCCTTTCCATTCTTGTCTGGTGGGAAAACTCCTACTTGTACCTCAAAACTCAGTTTCTATAGCACCTCCTTTGTCAAAGCTTCCCCATGTCATTATTTGAAATTGTGAAGAACTGAGGAGAGGCAGGCAGAGCGCTCAATTGGTAAGCAGGTGCTAAGGATGAACTGTGTTGCCCCCACCACCACCACTCCTGCTCCCACACACACAGATTCATATGTTGAGCTCTAACCCCCAACGTGATGGGATTTGGAAATGGGGCCTTTGGGAGGTGATTAGGTTTAGATGAGGTCTTGAGGATGGGGCCCTCATGATGGGATTAGGACACTAAGAAGAGCCACCAGAGAGCTTGCTTTCTCTCTGTCTTGCTGTATGCAAGCCAGGAAGGTCCCTCGCCAGAAAATGAATGGGCCAGCACCTTGACCTTGGACTTCTCAGCCTCTGAAACTGTAAGAAAAAATGTTTGATGTTTAAGCCCCCCAGTCTGTGGCATTTTCTTATAGTAGCCAAAACAGACTAAGACTCAGGGGTATTCCCTGGGGAGAGCAGAGTACACCAGTGAGAGAGGGCCTGCAGCTAGCAACTTTTAAGACTTTTTTTTTGACAATTTACAAAAACTTCAAACACCCAAAAAATAAGACCACAGCACTAAGAGGAACTTCTTCCTGTCTGCCTTGTTTAAGAGGGAATAACTTCTGTAAATAAAGTCATCTTGCAAGAATTAGTAATTATTTTAAAAGCTCTCTCTTCCCCTTCTTAGCTTGGAAGCTCCTTCTCCTCCCCGGGCTCCCCATCCCAGCCTCGCTGCTCCTCCCCTCCCCACCACCCTGGGGCAGCACTCCAGCGCGCTGGCCATCCTTACACCCTGTCCCACTCGGCCCTCCCTCCACTCTGCCTGCCACCTTCCCCCGGCTTTCCCCTCTGCCTCTCCTTCATCTTCCCCATCTCTCCACCCTGCAGGAGTGGCAAAAGAAGCTTCTAGCAAGTTGCAGTTCAGAGCAAGGGCCCTAGGGTCAGACAGGCCAGGATTCAAGCCGATTCCTCCACCACTCACTGACAGAATGGCCTTGGGCAAGTGTGTTTCCCCTTCAGTACAGTAGAGATAACATAGGGTCTCCCCCATAGGGACCACGGTGAAGGTAAAAAGGCAATAATGCGTGGAGAGCCCGTGTTGAGCCTGCCAGGGCCACATCTTCTAGGCAGTCCAGCAGCAGTGGCGGCCACATCATCGTTACCTGTCCCGGAGCTGCGCTCACCTTGGCAGCTGTGGCGGTCAGCGGACAGCTGCATGCCCGGCCCACACTCACACACAAACCCGCCTTCCGTGTTCACGCAGTGGCCCTCGCAGGAGGAGCTTAAGCATTCATCAATGTCTGGGAAGAGAGAAAACGCTCTTGCACAGACCCCTCTGAATGTGGCTGGGCTACATGGAGAAAATCTGCCCCACAAGGACCTTGTGCCCCACACCAGGCCTGCCCTCAGCAAGGTGAAACCCCCACCCGACTCCAGGAAGAAAGAAGAGGCTGAGGGGCCAGGCCCCTCCTTTTTGACTCATACAGACCAGATGACTGAGAGAATGGCTGAGACTGAACCATTTCCAATGGCCCCACCCGTAGGGCAACCCCAAAGGGCAAAGGGGAGCAGGCAGGAAGGCTGATTAAATTTCCTTAAATGTTTATTGAGCACCACCTGTGTGCAGCAGACCTGGAGGGGGGCCATTGAAGACACAAATAGGACTAAGACATGGCGCTGACTCTCCAGATGGTTACAGCCTGATAACAGAGCCACGATGCACACCCACGAGAGTCCAGTGTGTGGCAGGTAATAAGTGCCCCACCAGGGAATGCCTGGCCACAGCAGGTGTGTGCTGGAGGAGAGACAGGCTGAGAGGACCAGGAGGCATCAGGAGTTGAACGCCGTCAAGAGCCCAAGTCAGAGCACACTTGGGGAAGCCCAGGGAATACCCGCACCCTGTCTGGCTGAAGCTGGGGTTCCTATTAGGACAGTGGGGATCAGGATGCTGTGGCATGCAAAGGAATCCCTGAGGCTTCTGCCCAGGTGGGGTGACTGGAGCCATGCAGTGCTTTAGGGAGGTTCAGGCCTTCACGGGGAGGCTGAAGTCCCACCCCTGCTTCGTGGATACCCTCCTTATCAAAGAACCGTGATGGCTCTTGAGGACCTACAGGCTCAGCTCTGTGTACTCCGTTCTGCCCTGGAGTGTCCTGCTCCCTGGCCCCCAGGCCTGCTGACACTTCCACTTCCCTGCTGGCTCTTTCCAACGCAGGCAATTCAGAACCATACCCACCGCCACTAAGAAGCCCTCCCAGACTAACCCCATCCCATTGGGATCTTTCACGGGGGTGACCAGGGTGCCCCTGCTCTGCATGGGGACCTTGTCCTCTGACTTTTCCTGGGTCCAGTTTGCCTCTGCAATGAGAAGGGAATGTGGAGAGTACTCCCCATGAAAGACACTCAGGGGAGGAGGCACTCCTTCATCCTTCCTGAAAGGGATGGTGCAAGGAGCCCTGAGCACCACAAATTCCTCAGTAAGACCCATGATCCAGTGTTCTCCTGGGAATAACAGAGGCCAGCAGCAGGCCCCTGCACTGCAGCAGTATTTACAGTAATGAAACAATGCAGATAAAGTAAACGAGGGTTAGCAGAGAACTAAGTACTTACACAACAGTAGCCACACATGCAGCCCTTAAAAATTGTATTGTAAGGACTATTTCCTGCTCACAACATAAACTTAAGTGAGAAAATAATGAACAAAAGCTACAGGAAGGTATGATCACAATTTTATAAAACACACAGATATGTGTGCTTAACACACACATGCACACAGGTACACAAACACATGCCCAGGAAAAGGGTGGAAAAAATAACTTCATTTTAGTAACAAATATCTCTGGGTACAGACTTGGACATGTTTCTTTTCACCTTCCCATCATTCCTCTACTTATCAAATGTTCCAAAATATATTATTTTTTATTTTTATATTCAGGGAGAAACATTATTTCTACAAAGTCAAAACTCAGAAAAAAGGCTTTCAGCTCTCTGGCAAGATATGCAAGAGTCTGGTCACAGTGGCTTTGCCTGTAGGAACTTTTAAAAATCACAAACAGATAATACTTTTTACCAAATAATTATTGAATTTAGCTTTCCTCATCATTCAATGCCACGTTCCCAAGGGACCCTTCGGTGGTCAGCCCCACCTCCAGTCCCGGTTACCTGTCCCTCTGTGGGTCCTGGCCCCTTGCATTTCACCAGGTGTGGTCACATCACATGGGACTGTTACTGTCCTGACGCATCTCCCTTCCCCACATTCGGAAGAAACATAACATCAGGAACCAATCCACCACCACCCTCCTCCCCCAACCTCAGCTCCTGGCTCCGTTTCAGGCCCGTAAGAGGTGCTTAATAAATATTTGTGAAAGAGCAGAGGGGACGTACTTGTCGCATGCCCCGCTGCCCATTCTCAAACTGCAGAGAACGTCCTGGCTCAGCTCTATGCTTGCATCTCTCCCGAGACCATCCAGGCAGAACAGCGAGGAGACAGGATTCCCACCCGCACCCTTCCCCACTGCTCGCGGGGCTCTCACCAGTGCACCTGATGCCGACAGCTGTCTCTGTCATCGAGAAGCCCACGGGGCACACTCGGGCCACTTCCTGACAGCCGCCATGGTTACAGGTAAGGTCACAGCCATACTCTCCACAGGGTCCGTGGGCTTCTAAAACAGGCACCACACCTGTGAGCACACACCTGGTCACAGCCCCAGCCTGCCCCCACCTCTCTGGGGCTCATCCTAAATTCTGTTGGGAAAGTGGCTCTGGACGCAAACAGGACTGAGTTTAAATCCTGCAAGGCCGCTTACTAGCCTTGTAATCCTGGGTGGGCCACACACTCATGTGCCTCAGTTTCCTCAACTCCGAAATGGGAATGAGGAAGCCAACCTAGTAGGGTTGTTTGAAGACAATGCACTAAGACAAGTGCCCAGTGGTTGGCACATAATCTGAGTGTTAACAGAGTCCTCCCCATCAGCTATTGCCCACCTCCAGTTACCTGGGCAGGTGGCCCCTTGCTCTCCATCCTGGCATGAGCAGACGTTGGGAGCGATGCAGACGCCACTCCCACAGCCAAAGGAGCAGAGGGCTGAGAAGAGAAATGTGGGTGAGGGGTAAGGGCAAGGGCCCCCAGTCTGCCCCTCTGGCCAGCCAGGGGATGGGCATCCTGCCACACAGAATGGTTGGGGCACATGGTCAGGCACTTACGAAGGGTGCAGTGCCCACTGCCCATGGAGGGCGCCCAGCCAGGGCAGCAGCCACTCCCGAACCCCGAGAGGCAGACATGGGGGCCCAGCCGGCGTCTGCAAGAGAGGAAAGAGCACCTTCCATGTTCTGTACCAAGGGAGGGATTGATCTACTGGGCAGTGAAAGCCTCCCAGTCAGTCAGTAAGACAGTCAACAAACAATTGTGGCAACCCCACCACCACCTGTGAAGGGACAATGGGAAGTTTCCAAAGACAGATGACTCAGTCTCTCCTGGAGGCAGGACAAAAAGATGTAAGAAAGCAGACACCAGCCTCCAACAGCTGCCTGCCACATGAACACAGAGTCAAGCAGCTGGGAGAAAGGGACCTCAGTGTAAGAGGAAAGATAATGGATGAGGAGCGTAGGGATGGCTGCCTCAGCGCCTTTGCACTTACACTTCCCTCTATCAGGAAGGTTCTTCAGACACACACCCAGCTCACTCCCTCCTTTTACGGGGGTCTCTGCTCATGTCACCTTATGAGAGACGCCCTTTTTGTCCACCCTTATATTGCTTTATTCTTCTCCATAACAGTTCCTGGGACATTAAGTTATTTACTAATTTGCTGACTTCATTCTGACTTCCCTACCATTCCCTGAGGACAGGGCTTCATCTTTTTGTTCACCTTAGCACCAAGAGCAGTGTCTTGTACACAGTAGGTGCTCAGTAAATGGCTATTGAGGGAAAGGTTGAGAAAGGAGGGCAACAGAAGAGGGAAGGGGGTGGGCAGGGGGGCTGGAGAGATGTCACTCCCCAGATGGCATCTCTGAGGTGGACGTGGGGGTGCCAGAGAGCTGCACAGAACAGAGAAAGGGAACCCAGTGCGCCTGACGATAGGTGAGGCATGGCAGGACAGCCATGAACTAGCCATCTCTCCACCTTCAAGGGACACTGATCAGACAAGAAATCAGGTGATAACACAGTGTGACAAGTGCCACAATGGGACCAGGCTATGGTGCCCTGAGGCTGGCTGGGTGTCGGGGTGGCGTGGAAGGGCTTCCAGGAAGGACAGACTCTAGGTGGAGGTGGGAGACAAGGGTAGGGGCATCCACAGAGAGTGGAGGAGGAGAGGGGGTGCTCCAGGCAGAGGGGGTAGATAGAGCCAGGCCTGGAGGGAGCTTCTGTGAGGGACTCCCAGTGCAGCGGAAGAGGAACAAGAAAACTCTCCAACTGTGCTCTATCTGTGCTTGGAGTAGAATATTCTGCCCGTCAGGCAGTCCACCGAGCACCCATGATGGCTGTGCCAGGCAGAGCAGCAGGCACTGGGGACATGGATGGGAGACAAAGTAGGGTGGCTCTTGGGGAGAATATGTGTCAAATGTGATGGGTAGTCTAGAAAGTGAAACTCAGGGCACATGGCAGCACAGAAATGTCTGCGGAGAACTGTCCCTGGGGCCTCGAAGAGCCTTTTCCCTCTCTGAAGTCACACCAGAAGAAGAGGGGGCCCTGGAGGGGGACAAGCAGGGGGCCTGACAGTCATGTCTCACCGGCTGCCCTTGCTGGAACGAACATGACAGCAGCCTTGGAAGGAGGAGCAGGCAGCTCCTGCTCCTCAGACGGGGCTCCGAAGGGAACAAGGGTGCCACCAAATTGGCAGGTGGAAGGATGCCCGAGAGCCGCACCCTCAGGGAGGCAGGGGCCGAGCGTCGGCTAGGGAGCCCCAAGGAGTCTCCTAGGGCAGGCGGTGGCAGGGAGACAGGTGGCAGGAAGGCTCTGAAAGGCCGCGGAGCCGGCAGATCTGAGCAGGAACTGGCGGCGGCGGCTTAACGTACATGCGAGCTGCGAGCCTGGCGGGGCCGCCCCCCTGAGCGCCCCCCGAGGCCGTGGCCGCGGGCCAGGCGGCCCGCTGACACCGTGTTCCCTCGCTCGGAGCATCACGCGCACACGCGCCCGGCCCGCGGCCGCACGGCCTCCGCGGGAGGAGACGCTAGGGGAGGGCGGCATCAATGGGGCAAACACCCCACCCCCGCCGCGCGCACACACGGGCGGAAACCGAAACATGACCCGGAGAGACCCCAGCGGTCCAAGGTCCACGGCGCGCGGAAAGCCTGGACACAGGGAGCCCCCGGCCCCAGAGCAGCCGGCGCAGCGCTGGAGGCCAGGCACCGTCAAGGCGGAGCCACGGGCGCGTTCGCGAGCGACAGCAAGCCGGTGGGGAGACCAGGTGGCCCGTCCGGAGCGCCCCTCGCCAGGGGTCCGCATCCCAAGGCAGCCCGGATCTCCGTCCCCTCCAGGTCCCAGCCGAGACAGCCTCAGCCAGGGGCGCAGGACGGTCTCCCGCCCAGAGCACCAGCTGCCGTCCCTTTGTCCGGACCCCGTGGGCTCCACCCGCGCGCGGATAGCGCCCCACAGGGGAGCCCTGACCTACGGCTGCGGGTGGCTCGGGGCGCCCCTCCGCGCCTCCCCGCTCCCCGCCGGTAGCGCTCCCGCGGCGGGGCAGGGTAGGGGCGCGGGGCGCTTACCTCTCGGCAGCGAAGTGCCCGGGCGCCTTCCTCCCGGTGTAGCCGTGGGTCGAGGCCCCCGGCAGCAGGAGCGCGACGCAGGCGGCCCGGAGGAGCAGTCCGGCCCACATGACCGGCGGCGGCGGGTCCCCCCAGCTCGGCTGGGCTCCGGCGCCGCGCGCGGGGGAGGGGGCTGCCGGCCCTCGCCCCTCCTCCTGGCGCCGCGGGGAGCGAACCAGCGAGTCCCGAGCTGGCACGCGGAGCCGAGCAGGGGGGCTGGGGACGCCAAGAGGAGGGGCCGGGGGCCTCCAGGGGACGCGGCGCAGTGCTGGGGGGTCTCTGGTACTTTGGAGTGAAACACACAAAAGGCATCGCCGCCCGCCGGCCTCTTGGGGAGGCACGGAACCCAGGGCGAGGGCAAAGATCAGGGACCCCTAAGGGGCGGGGTTTTGCCCTGGGCTCACACCCACTGCCCGGGTTTGGGAGCCGGCTTCCTGCTAAGGGCTTGGGCGTCAGACTGAGGCCCGGCTGGAAGGAGACTCCGGGAACAAGGCTGTCTGTCGCTGAAGGCTGCGCGCCCCGGGCACTGCTGGTCTCGGTGGAGCTCCAGATGCCTGTGTTGTCACAAGAAGGTCGGGCCCTGGGTCTTCTCCTTGCTGGGCAGTTCTAGGCTGGCACCCAGCCTGCCTGCAGATCTGTACCCTAACCCTGGTGAGGGGATCAGGGGACACTATCAGCTTGAACCCCAGGCTCCTCTTTGCTGGCTTCTGCACCTGCCCCAGTCCACAGTCAGAGACTGGTAGGCAGGGAAGTGGCGAGAGCAGGTGGTGGATGGAAATCTAGATCATCCAGCTGGGAGAAAGCTGAAGGGATGAACAGATTGCACCTTCTGCCCTGTGCAGGATTCATTCCCAACCACCTGCAACCTCACTAGTCAAGCTTTTGCTTAAACACTTATGCGGATAAGGAGATCACTACCTTGTCAGAAGGCAGCCCAATCCAGATTGGAGTAACTGCTTCTGTTAGGAAGGGTTTTTACTCCCCAGCTAAAAATAACCCGTTCCTTTGGTTCAGCCTCTACAGGTGTCTTCCCAGTGGCTACCTTAGCTATCTGAGTGGCCACAAATGAAAACGGTGTGCCAACAGTGGGCTGGACTCTCACCTTCCTCCCAGACACCATACTTTCATTAACAGCCTAATAATATTTGGCTTTTCTGGCAACCCCATGATGCTGCTAGTTACAGTAAAGGAAAACCTCGGGTGTTTTTGGTTGTCATGTTTTTATGCGGTTGTTATTAAACAAGCTACTAAGCCCATCTCCCTACCTAAACCTGGTGTTTTTGCAGACACTAAAATGTAGGTCTGTTATCTCATCTTGTTAGTTTTGACCCATCATTCTAAGCAGCAAATTCTCAGCAAGTAGGTTGCCAAAATATACTGTATCATAAGATGAATACAACTTCCATATTTATGTCCACTCGGAGTCCTAAGGACCCTCAGAATCCTAGAGCATCATCTTCCCTTTCTGCCTTTCTCCCTCCACTGCTCACAGTGCATTGCTCATCATTATTTACAAAGTGCTTTAGTGTCCACCTCCAATTTCCACATAGTTGATGTAGCCCGACTTTTTCAAGAGCAAGTAGAAAGCCTTTCTCCTTCCCTTGAGCCCACATGATCTATCACACCATTGCCCTGATCATTCCTACGTGGCCCACCACTCAGTGTCAAATAGGTGCTCCTTCCTGGCCCTGAAGCTATCCACAAATTCCCAGCACGAACACAGGGCAAGTTTCCTTTCACACAGCTGTCACACCGTCTGCCATCTTCTCCCCCACTCCAGCACAGCTCCATCACCTCCATTCTGAACTGTGGCCAATCCATGTGGCCCCACCTGTCCTGTCCCATCCCTGGACCTCTGGCACGGTTTGCTCCATATTGGTCATCAATGAGCAGCTGGACTAGCTGAAAGACAGATTTGTGCTTAAGGAGAATCCTCATCTCCCCTCAGGAGGAGCTGAGGATATTTAAGACTTGGTAAATTCCTCCCAGTGAATTTCAAAAAGAAACTTTCTCAACAGCCCCTGGCATTTCTTTCATTTCCCCAATTGCTTTGACCTTATGGCACCACCTTGCTCCTCTTATCAAGTTTCCTTCTTTAGTTGGGTTTTCGCTATTTTTCTTCTCTTTTGGTCTATTTGACACAAAGCCTCCTCCAAGTCTGGACCCTGTGAGTCCTCTTAACATTCATCTTCAAGGATGAATGCTAGTTTGGGCAGATCCCTACAGTTCCTCATTGTTTCCTCCCCACTTCTGTGGCTTGTGGCTTCTCAGTAACAAAAGGGACCCTCCACGGAGGGCGGAGGATCCAAGCTGTTGTTGGCTGCAGAAAGGCGGCCTCTGGCTTGTGACCCTTCCAACGGTCAGGGGATGAGTCAGTGTTTCTATTATTCTCCCAAAGGTCCGTTCGTGCAGAGGCCTGGAGTGAGGCTAGCTCATCAGCACTACATGGACAGGAGCCATTCCAGCTGGCTGTAGCAAAGCTCCAAAGGCAACCCTTCACCCTTGGAGAAGTGATTAATGGCTTTTAAGAGGGGATGTGGGAGTGTGACAGCAGAGCGTCAGTTTCCAAAGGGTTGCTAGAATTCAATCTTGAGTAAATACACCAAAGATTGTAGGAAAATAGAAAAACTGCAAGGACTCCACAGCTTTCAAAGGAAAAGACTGAAGCCACTGGTAATAACCTTCTACTCAACATAGGTCTCCTTGACTGCACGTTAGACCACAAAGCACCACCAGAATGATAATTCCACCACGTTCTTCCTGACCATGGCACTTCATAGTCAATCCTCCCATTTAGGATTAAATGTTTTAAATAATCACAATCTGGAGATTGTTGCTAGCCCATCTCATTAAGCTGGTCTCTGGCATGGGCGGCAGGCCTTTTCAATTCAAACCATGACTCTAAGACTTCAAATCACAGTGTTGAGTTTCCAGTTCAAACTGTGGTTTTTGAGATGCTGATTATTTTTTCTCTGAAGACCCTCATCCCCCAGCCTCAGAAATCCCAGGAGAGGAAGGGGAAAAGCATGGTAATGAAACCCAAGGCAGGCCTCAAGGAAGGAAACTTACCCCAGAAGACCCCCAACGCAGACACTTCTTGCCCTTTTTCTTTTAAGCTAGAATCTCTCGAAACCACAGTTTGAACTTGAAACCACAATTTTCCTGACGCTGTATCAAAGGCTGGTCTTAAAGGAGCCAGTCAATGTGCCTACGATTAACCCTGCTCCACTGTGGGGACAGAGCGGCCTTTATCCCCACTCGATCACTGGTGGAAACATGGGCCACTGAGCTGAAAGAAGACTGGCTCTGTTTGCTGGACAGAAGGGTGAACCCCAAATGGGCCTTGCTCCTGTGTTTTCAAATCAAAGGCACCAATGGTTTACTTGATTAAACCAAAGGAAATAAAATCAGAACCCAAAGGGCATGTGGCCACCAGAAGCTGGGAGGTGGGAGAAAAGCTACTTGCCCAGGCCAAGCAGTGGCACCTGGTGGCTGGTTGACTGTATGTTGCATACACATCTGGCTGTGAAATGACATCAGGAAAGGCAGCCAAGCAACCCCAGGCCCAGCAGGTTACTCACAAAGGCAACTGGGGATCAAAATGTCTACAGAGTCAAGGGCAACCTAAGTCAACTGAATTTCCCGACACCCACCATCCTTGCAATCACAACCCAAAATCACATGGCAGAGGACAGAGACGTCACTTCACTATTGAGAGTCGTCGTTCCAGCAGCAAAGACAAATGACTGCAGCAGATGCCACAATGGAGGGAAACGAGTTTGCAGTAAACTAAACTAGGGATGCTGGAGAGTCCGCAGCAGGAAGAAAACAGGGACACAGGATCTTTCTTCTTAGAGTCTACTTTATTTGGTAAAACTCAGAAATTAACAACCAATTCACATCCCCCAACCCCCACCTCCTTCCCTCTGAAGAAGGAAGTTCCCCAGAGACAAAAAAGCTGTGGCTTGGGGGTCATCCACCATCTCCAGGTTTTATGTTCACACTGCCCATGGCCTGGTAGTTAGGCCTCCAGACCCAAAGCTCTCAGAGGCAAGGGAAGAAAGCAAACAAAGCTCTCACCTCAAAGACAATGAAACCCTCCCACCCCACTTCCCCCTACCCCCAACCTCCCCATACCCCCAACCTAAATAAAAAGATAGCAGAAGACAATGCACGTGTGAAACACACACGCACACACACACGCACGCGCGCGCACGCACACACACACACACACACACACACACACACGTACCAGAATGATAATTCCACCACGTTCTTCCTGACCATGGCACTTCATAGTCAATCCTCCCATTTAGGATTAAATGTTTTAAATAATCACAATCTGGAGATTGTTGCTAGCCCATCTCATTAAGCTGGTCTCTGGCATGGGCGGGCAGGCCTTTTCAATTCAAACCATGACTCTAAGACTTCAAATCACAGTGTTGAGTTTCCAGTTCAAACTGTGGTTTTTGAGATGCTGATTATTTTTTCTCTGAAGACCCTCATCCCCCAGCCTCAGAAATCCCAGGAGAGGAAGGGGAAAAGCATGGTAATGAAACCCAAGGCAGGCCTCAAGGAAGGAAACTTACCCCAGAAGACCCCCAACGCAGACACTTCTTGCCCTTTTTCTTTTAAGCTAGAATCTCTCGAAACCACAGTTTGAACTTGAAACCACAATTTTCCTGACGCTGTATCAAAGGCTGGTCTTAAAGGAGCCAGTCAATGTGCCTACGATTAACCCTGCTCCACTGTGGGGACAGAGCGGCCTTTATCCCCACTCGATCACTGGTGGAAACATGGGCCACTGAGCTGAAAGAAGACTGGCTCTGTTTGCTGGACAGAAGGGTGAACCCCAAATGGGCCTTGCTCCTGTGTTTTCAAATCAAAGGCACCAATGGTTTACTTGATTAAACCAAAGGAAATAAAATCAGAACCCAAAGGGCATGTGGCCACCAGAAGCTGGGAGGTGGGAGAAAAGCTACTTGCCCAGGCCAAGCAGTGGCACCTGGTGGCTGGTTGACTGTATGTTGCATACACATCTGGCTGTGAAATGACATCAGGAAAGGCAGCCAAGCAACCCCAGGCCCAGCAGGTTACTCACAAAGGCAACTGGGGATCAAAATGTCTACAGAGTCAAGGGCAACCTAAGTCAACTGAATTTCCCGACACCCACCATCCTTGCAATCACAACCCAAAATCACATGGCAGAGGACAGAGACGTCACTTCACTATTGAGAGTCGTCGTTCCAGCAGCAAAGACAAATGACTGCAGCAGATGCCACAATGGAGGGAAACGAGTTTGCAGTAAACTAAACTAGGGATGCTGGAGAGTCCGCAGCAGGAAGAAAACAGGGACACAGGATCTTTCTTCTTAGAGTCTACTTTATTTGGTAAAACTCAGAAATTAACAACCAATTCACATCCCCCAACCCCCACCTCCTTCCCTCTGAAGAAGGAAGTTCCCCAGAGACAAAAAAGCTGTGGCTTGGGGGTCATCCACCATCTCCAGGTTTTATGTTCACACTGCCCATGGCCTGGTAGTTAGGCCTCCAGACCCAAAGCTCTCAGAGGCAAGGGAAGAAAGCAAACAAAGCTCTCACCTCAAAGACAATGAAACCCTCCCACCCCACTTCCCCCTACCCCCAACCTCCCCATACCCCCAACCTAAATAAAAAGATAGCAGAAGACAATGCACGTGTGAAACACACACGCACACA